ATGGACACTATTGCACAGGTTATTCATGAATGTGAAACATGTGCTGTGATCAAACAGGCCAAGCTGTTCAAGCCTCTCTGGTATGGAGGACGATGGCTGAAATATAAATATGGGAAGGCCTGGCAGACTGATTATATCACACTCCCACAAACCCGCCAAGGCAAGTGCCATGTGCTTACAGTCGTGCCCCATGCCACCACCCTGAACACCATCCTGGGCCTTGAAAAGCAAGTCCTGTGGCAACACGGCACCCCAGAAAGAATCGAGTCAGACAATGGGACTCATTTCCAAAACAACCTCATAGACACCTGGGCCAAAGAGCACGGCATTGAGTGGGTATATCACATCCCCTATCACTCACCAGCCTCTGGGAAAATCAAACGATACAATGGCCTGCTAAAGACTACCCTGAAAGCAATGGGTGCTGGGACTTTTAAACATTGGGATACACATTTAGCAAAAGCCACCCGGTTAGTCAACACTAGGGGATCTGCCAATCGAGCTGGCCCTGCCCAATCAAAACTTTCATGTACTGTAGAAGGAGATAAAGTCCCTGTAGTGCACATAAAAAATATGCTGGGGAAGACAGTCTGGGTTACTTCCCCCTCTGGCAAAGGCAAACCCATTTGTGGGATTGCTTTTTGCTCAAGGACCTGGGTGCACTTGGTGGGTAATGTGGAAGGATGGGCAAGTCTGACATGTACCTCAAGGGATTTGATTTTGGGTGAAAATAGCCAATGAACTGAATAGTATGATGTTAATTGCTATAGAATACTGTATGGCATCACTTTTATGGATGCTATGTGCCGTATCAGCAGTATTACAGTAAGAATCACTCAGATTAATGTAGAATGAACTTTAATAAAACTGAACAAAGCGCAGCAGTGATGGAACCAGAACTGATTTCAACATGCAACAATCCAACACCGCACATCACCTCTCCTGCCCTGAAAGACTGTTATGACAGATGGAACCCAAAGTTATGGACTAAATGAACTCAATGGACATTTTACAGGGATGGCCCACAGACTAAGGGAATGATATCTGTGTGTATATATATCAAAAGACAGGAAAAGTGGTTGTGGTTAATTGGAATTTATTGGAAAGGGTAGAGACCTGGGCATGACGTAGATGGTACAGAATAATGGATGGATACTGTCCTGGTTTTGGCTGGGATAGAGTTAGTCTTCTTCCTAGTAGCTGGTGTAGTGCTGTGGTTTCGATTTAGTTTGAGAATAACTTTGATAACACACTGATGGTTTAGTTGTTGCTAAGTACTGCTTATGCTAGTGAAGGACTTTTTCAGCTTCCCATGCTCTGCCAGGTGCACAAGAAGCTGGGAGGGGACACAGCCAAGACAACTGATCCAAACTGACCAAAGGGCTATTCCATAACATATGACATCATGCTCAGTATATAAACTGGGAGGAGTTGGCCAGGAGGCTGCAATCGCTGCTTGGGAATTGGCTGAGTATCAGTCAGTGGGTGGTGAGTAATTGCGTCGTGCATCACTTATTTTGTATATTATTATGATTATTACTACTATTATTATTATTATTTTACCTTCCTTTTATGTCCTATTAAACTGTCTTTCTATCAACACACAAATTTTACTTTTTTTTTTTCCCCCCCGATTCTCTCCCCATCCCACTGGGGAAGGGGAGAGTGAGCAAATGGCTGTGTGGTGTTTAGCTGCCTGCCAGCTTAAACCACAACAGATACACAGAAAAAAATCTATTGACATAAAAATAGCATGTGGCAAATACACAAAAATTTAACATGTTACATGCAAACACTATTTAGTTTTATCATTAAATGATATTCTATCTGAAGAGCAATTTGAAATAATCAAATTCTAAACCTGAAGTATCATATTAAGATCCTTTGCACTATGAATACAAAACACATACCTTTCAACTCTAGCAAGCACAGATGAACAGGACAATTCCAGTTCTTGTCTCTTCTGTCTGATGGCTGCATTAACTTCTGTGAATTCTGTACTGAAATACAAATTTCATACAAAAAGTTACAAACAGCAACTTTGTACTATGACAATTTTTGTATTTAAAAAATTGCTTCTATCAATGACTTTTAATTTAACTGTATTGGAACTTGCAACAGTCATGATGAAACTGTGCATGACTATTGTTTAGAGGGAAAAAACAGTCATAGTAAACATAACAGAAGTCCTAAATAAAGGAGACAGACAGAATGGAAAACAGGAGATTGAAATGCGTCTTCTGGGGAATTTAAAGATGGAGAAACTTTCCATCCTTAACAAATTAATACTGTTGCATGCATGGCAAAAAGTTTTTTTCATTTACAGACTGCTGAAAACATACAGACACAATAATTTTTTGACTAGGCAATATTATCCAAATAATGTTCTTCTAGACTGTTTTCTTTCTTCCATCTTCTCAACAAAAAGTATTTTTTACACCCATTCTTAAGTATTAGGCTCATTAAGCCAAATTGCTTCATGTATGTTTAAAGTATTCCTCTTGGAATCAAGGAGCAACAACAACAAAGATTGTTTGTGATACAAAACAGGATATTTGCTGTTAACGGTTTTGCTAACTGCTGTTGTAATAACAGGACTAACCCTTTCCTATCCAAGGCTTCAATTCAGCAAGAAGTTTAAGTATGAGCTAAAAATAAAACTTATTAGCTCCTATTAAATCAATGAGATTAAAAGCACACACTGAAGTATTTTAATGCTGAACACATGACAGAAATTGGGGTGTGCCCTTAACACAACCCATTTTAAAATGGTTGTGTTTAT